CAAACCCACCAGCCACTCCTTGGAAGGAAGGTTGGGCAATCCTACTTCCATAGTGATACTGCCTCGGAAACCCAAGGAGGGGTCGCTATGAGTCCGGGCTGACTCGATGGCAAATAACAACAACAACTAACAACAACATATAAGCATACCTTGGCCCAGGTTTTGGAATTTTGCCAGCCTTGAGCTCATCAATAATTTCTTCAATATCCTTAGGTGTCAGATCCTCCTAGAAAAAAAAAAATTACAATAGTCATATTAAAATTACTTCCTATAGCTGAAATCTGTATAAGCCCCTAATACCAGTAGTTTATTATCTCTGAAGTTCTCTCACCATTCGGCTTCTCCTTAGGCCCCTGAGGACAGGCTCCTTTTGGCCCTGCCATCTGTCACCACTGATTCTGCCACAAGGCCCATGTGGGCCTCTCGCTGCCAGTACTGCCACTCGACCCCTTCCAGGCCTGTCACTCTTTGGGGTTATAGCCCTTGACCTATGTTACAGCTTTTTTAGGAGGTCTCCCTTCTAGCTAATTCTCCCTTCTAGCTAATTCTCTCTACTCTCTTGCCTTTTCTCCTTTTTGTTTCTCCCTGCTTCCTGTCATCTGGGGGATGGCTGCTTACATCAGCAATTCTTTACTGATTTCAAGGTATGACCCTCCCACTACGTGCCACAAACTGACTAATCCTTCTCCATAGGCCACAGACACTTCATTTTCATGGTCTACAGTAACATCATTTGCACAGTATATTAACTAATTCCTACAAAATGCATATTAGGCAAACATTATATCAAACCATCCTTATTTACAGCTTACTTAGGAAATGTCAGTCAACCTAAACAAAAGTAACAAATTCTCTGGGGTAGAAAACTAGGGCAAAGGTAACTCCTCAAGGATAAGGGGAAAAATCTCTCAAGCTGGTTTTCCAAAGGCCCAACACAAAAGGCCACATAAAAGAATTCATTTTACCACTTGGGCTCAGGGATTCATAGCCTAGAGTGGTAGGAGCAAAGCCCCAGACAAGTCCAAGAGAGGCTAACAAAAGATCATCCAAACCACACAAAATTAAAACCCCAAAAAGCTTCACCCTCCATGTAAACTAGAAATAAGCTATTCAGCAAAGAAAACTGCTCATCTAGAACTTGAGCATTTAGGGGTAAGGGTAAGGAGAGGGGTTTTCTTTTGAGGAACTCCATAGGATTGTATAACAAACCTCCAGCATACAATTTAATTTAAAGTGATCCCGGCCTAGCAGTACTTCTAGGAACAAGAAAGAAACAAAGCAAATTCCTTCTTAAAGAATCCACCCTCAACACAAGCCATAAAGAATTTCCATAAACAAAGACTGAACATTGTGAAAATGTCATTTCTGCCCAAAGCAATGTATACATTCAATGCAATCCCAACCCATACCCCATCAACATTCCTTAAGGATATAAAAAAACCAATCACTAACTTTATATGGAAAGGAAAGAAACCTCGGATAAGCAAAGCACTATTGAAGAAGAATAACAAAGTATGAGGTCTCACACTTCTGGATCTCAAAACCTACTACACAGTCACAGTAGTCAAAACTTCCTGGTACTGGTACGACAGACACACAGACCAGTGGAATAGAACTGAGAACCCTGAAATAGGTCCATTGACCTATGGTCAGCTGACTTTTGACAAAGGGCTGAAATCCATTAAATGGGCAAGAAGTGGTCTCTTTAACAAATGGTGCTGGCAAAACTGTATATCCATTTGCAGAAAAATGAAACAAGAGCTATACCTGACACCATGCACAAAAACTAAGTCCGGATGGATTAAAGATGTAAACGTGAAACCTAAAACTATAAAGTTCTCAAGGGGAAACAAGAGCCAATTTAGGGGCCCTAATATATTAGATGGGAGCTCTGGTGGCATACTGCCTAAGGCATCTGACTGCTAACCAGAAGGCTGGTGGTTCAAACCCACCAGCCACTCCTCGAAAGGAAGACTGGGCAATCTACTTCCACAGAGACACTGCCTCAGAAACCCAAGGAGGGGTCTCTAAGAGTTGGGATTGACTCAGTGGCAGTGAGTTTAATATATGAGACATGTCCCACACAAGAGGCAGGAAGGCAGGAAAGCCAGGGATGACAAAGTGGCAGGATCCAGGTAAGGAAGGGAGACAGGCCACACCCAAGAGGCAGGATGGTGGAAAAGCCAGGGATGACAAAGTAGCAGGATCCAGGTAAGGGGAGGGCGGAGAGGTCTCGGAAAGGTAGGGGAGACGAACTTGTCTGTCAGTTTGTAATACTGTGGTGTCATGCACGTTGCTGTGAGGCTTGAGGCTGTGCCACTGGTATTTCAAATGCCAGTAGGGTTGCACATGGTACACAGGTTTCAACGCATCTTACAGACTGAGACAGACTAGGAAGAAGGAAGAGGCCATTCACTTCTCAAAGAACTGGCCAGAGAAAACCTTACGAATAACAGAGAAACACTGATAACATTACTGGGCAACTTTATGAATAGCCCTGAAACACTGTCCAATATAGTGCAGGAAGACCAGCCCCTTGGTCGGAAGGCACTCAAAATACGACTAGGAAAGAGCTGCCTCATCAGAGTGGAACCACCTTTAATGATATGGATAAAGTAATATTTTGGGACCTCCATTTGCTAATGTGGCACGAATTCAATTGAGGAGAAACAGCTGAAAACATCCATTAATAATCCAAACATGGAATGTACCAAGTATGAATCTAGGAAAATTGGAAGTTGTCAAAATTGAAATGGAACACATCAAGACTGATATCCTAGGCATTAGTGAGCTGAAAGGGAGCTCTGGTAGCATAGTGCCTAAGGCACTTGACTGCTTACCAGAAGGCTGGCGGTTCAAACCCACCAGCCACTCCTAGGAAGGAAGATGGGGCAATCTACTTCGTAGTGATACTGCCTTGGAAACCCAAGGAGAGGTCACTATGAGTCAGGTCCGACTTGACAGCACTTAACAACAACAGCAACAACAGTGAGCTGAAATGGACCAGTTATGGCCATTTTGAATCAGAGAACCATATGATCTACTATGCCAGGAATGACAATTTGAAGAGGGATGGCTTGGTATTCATAATCACAAAAGATGTTTCAAGATCTATCCTGAAGTGACAGAATAATATCCATACACCTACAAGGAAAGCCAGTTAATAATATTATTCAAATTTACGCAACAACCACCAAAGTCAAATATGAGGAAACTGAAGATTTTTACGAACTTCTGCTGTCTGAAATTGACCAAACATGCAATCAAGATGTGATTATCACTGGTGACTGGAATGCAAAAGTTGGAAACAAAGAAGAATCATCGGCAGCTGGAAAATTTGGCCTTGGAGATAGAAATAATGCTGAAGATCATGTGATAGAATTTTGCAAGACCAATGACTTATTCATGGCAAAGACCTTTTTTTTCAACAACGAACAGCGGCTATGTATGTGGACTTTGGCACACGGAGTGCATAGGAATCAGATTGACTGTATCTGTGGCAAGAGGGGATGGAGAAGTTCAATACCTTCAGCCAAAACAAGGCCAGGAGCTGACTGTGGAACAAACCATCAATTGCTCGTTTGCAAGTTCAACTTGAAGTTGAAGACAATTAAAACAAGTCCAGGAAAGCCAAAAATGGGTCCTTAATTATACACCTCCTAAATTTAAAGACCATTTAAATATATTTGATGCACTGAACACCAATGATCGAAAACCAGAGGAACTGGGGGATGACATTAAGAACATCATCCATGAAGAAAGCAAAAGGTCATTAAGAAGAGAGGAAAGGAAGAAAAGACCAAAATGGATGTCAGAAGAGACTCTGAAACTTGCCCTTGCATGGACAGTAGCTAAGGCAAATTGAAGAAATGAGAAGATAAAAGAGCTAAACAGAGGATTTCAAAGAGCAGCTCGAGAAGACAAAGTCAATTATTATAATGAAATGTGCAAAGACATGGATTTGGAAAGCCAAAAGGGAAGAACACTCTCAGCATTTCTCAAGCTGAAAGAACTGAACAGGAAATTTAAGCCTCAAGTTGCAATATTGAAAGATTCTATGAGCAAAATACTGAATAATGCAGGAAACATCAAAAGGAGATGGAAGTAATACAAAGTCACTGTGCCAAAAAGCCAAAAAGAATTGGTTGATGTTCATCCATTTCAGGAGGTGGCATATGATCAAAAAACCAATGGTACTGAAGGAAGAAGTCAAAGCTGCACAGAGAGAAGAAGTGAAAAACAAGGTTCCAGGAATTGATGTGATACCCATGGAGATGTTTCAACAAGCAGATGCCGCACTAGTGGCACTCACTCAGCTATGCTAGGAGATTTGGAAGACAACTACCTGGTCAACTGACTGGAAGAGATCCACATCTGTACCCATTCCAAAGAAAGGTGATCCTACAGAATGTGGAAATTACTGAACAATATCATTAATATCACATGCAAGTAAAATCTTACTGAACATAATTCAAAAATGGTTGCAGCAGTATATTGACAGAGAACTTCCAGAAATGCAAGCTGAATTCAGAAGAGGATGTGGAACAAGGGATATCATTGATGATGTCAGATGGATCTTGGCTCAAAGAAAAGAATACCAGAAAAATGTTTGTGTTTTACTGACTATGAGAAAACATTTGATTGCGTGGATCATAACAAATTACGGGTAACACTGAGAAGAACGGGAATTCCAGAACACTTAATTGTGCTCATGAGGAACCTATACAGAGACCAGAAGGCTGTTGTTTGAATGTAATAAGGAGACGCTGCATGGTTTAAAATCAAGAAGGGAGTGCATCAGGGTTGTATCCTGTGGTAGTTCAGTTTGTGTGTCAACTTGGCTAGGCCTGATTGAGTGGCTGGGCAGCTGAATGTAGTATTCCTCATGATGAGACTGGTAATCAACTCCATGGTAGAATCTACTGTGAGCAGCTGAGCAGCTCCTTAGAGAATGTGGTCTGCTTCCTGTATTTAAGCAGAAGCCTTGGGAAATGGTCTTTAGTTTGTGGCACACTTGGACCCTGCATGCAGCCGTGTCGTCATTCTGCCTGCCATGCTCTGCCAACCTTGGGACTTAGAAAGGACTTGAATTAATGGCCTGCCATGTGGTTTGGTAACATCGGGACTGTGCCATTTTAGTTGTCAACCTTGGGCTTGTTAGCCTCAGCAGCCAGTAGCTGACTGAGTGATAAGATGCCTCTAGTTTCAATGGGCCAGGAGCAAGAGGCAAAGCAGAAGCCCAAGGTCGGAGGAGCTTTCACACAGCCCCTAGAACCTGGCACTTTGAACTTGGACTTAAAGCTTCCAAACTGGAAGAGAATAAGCTCCAGTTTGTTAAGGCCATCCCATTTGTGATATATTATTGTCAGAGCGGTACTAGGTAACCAGAACATATCCTTTCACCATACTTATTAGTCTGTATGCTGAACAAATAATGCAAGAAGCTGGACTATATGAAGAACATGGCATCAGGATTAGAGGAAGACTCATTAACAACCTATATTATGCAGACGACACAACTTTGCTCGCTGAAAGTAAGGATGACTTGAAACACTGGTGAAGACTGAAGACTACAGTCTGAAGTATGGATTATACCCTCAATATGAAGAAAACAAAAATCCTCACAATGGGACCAGGTGTGCTGGTGTGACAGAGCCTGGTGGAACCCCTGAGACTATGGCTCCTAGCTACCTTTCAGGTCTGAAATTGAACCTAATCCTGTGCCTTCCAGCTAAACAAAAGAAAGGCATATGAGCTGAACATTTACATTAAGTAGATACACTCCTTGGAGAGATCAATCATGGGAGAACAGGAGGGCTGTGTATACACAGGGAGACAGCTTGGGGGGCAGGAGTGCATGGGAGGGAAGGATACAGGGAAGAGGTGACTACGGGGAGCAAACAGGAGGAGAGCTGCTGCATTGTGGGAGATTATAGTTAATGTCATGAGACAAACTGCATGTGAACTGCTGTATGGAAGATGAATTTGCTCTGTAAACTTTCACCCAAATCACAGTTTAAAAAATTTTTTTTCCCATAAAATTTTAAGAAATGCAATTAAGAATGAAAGCCAACACTGTGGCAGTGAGGAAGAGGAAGACATAGGGAGGTATAGAAAAAGAAAAAAAGAAAGCCATGATATAACTAGGATAGCAAGCAACTTTACATTTGACTGTTAAGAACATTTCTGAAAAAAAACCCTCATAGATCAAAGAAGAAATAAAACACAAATTAAAAAATGCTTAGGACTAGATAATAAAAATGTTATTTATCAAAATCTATAAAATCTGGGTAAATTCACTTGAAGGATAATACCATCTTTGTAAAATGTTTCAAACAAGCAATACTAGTATGGTTGAACACATACAAGAAAATGTTTAAACATATGCACAGGAAGAACACACACTAAAATTATGGCAGTGGTTATCTCTGGAAATGAAAGAAGGAAATACAGCTTTGGGTGTGGTTGGGAAGGCTTCATCTGGTTTTTATCTGAGATAAATGTGGCAAATGTTCATACCTGTCAGTCTTGGTAGTTAGTATACCAGGGTTATTTTCTGTATCTGTATGCTAATTACAGACAGTCCCCAGGTTACATCTGACTTACAGAGAACTCCTACCTGCTCCTTAATGCAAGGTTTGTAACAGATTCTGTCGTAGCCAACAAAGCAAAACAGGAACAGACCGGAATTTTTATAATTTGGGTGATTAGTCATGGTAACCAGAATAATAAAAATGATGAGTCGAAGCCCTGGAATGGGAGACTTGTAAGAGGTGGTGGTGTTGTTGTTGTTGTTGTTATGTGCCATTGAGTCGGACCAGCGACCCCTCCTTGGGTTTCCGAGGCAGTATCACTACGGAAGTAGATTGCCCCATCCTCCCTTCCGAGGAGTGGCTGGTGGGTTTGAACCACCAGCCTTCCGGTTAGCAGTCAAGTGCCTTAGGCACCACTACACTACCAGAGCTCCTTGCAAGAGGTGTAGTGAGACCTTTTCAGGAGCCCGAACTGTGACACTGGATTACTAGTAGGACTGTCAAGAGCCACACATATTCAAAGCATCAGCACCACGTTTGAACAGGGTGCCGCAATCTTCAAAGCCCTGTTTTAATGTTATGCACATTTGCCCTCACTCTTAAATGACTAAACCAATCCTTACTTGCAACAAAATTTTTCATCACAATCAGCTTCACTTTCTGCACGTGCAGCTTTTAAAACACTGAAAAGGCTTCCTCCAGCCTTTTCCTCTACTAAGGTATGGCTAGATAAGAACTGTATGCACACCTGTTCCGGCTTACCTATTTAAAGACACAATTAGGAAGAGATCTTGTTCTTAACACTTCATAACACAGAGATTGATTATATTAAATTTCTCAAAATTTAAAAGTTTTGAAAAATTATCATTAATTCCTAGAGCTAAAATGCAAAAATGTTTAAGGATAGTCATTTTTAAATAACTTCCAGATACTTATCCTGTTTCTTCTAAATGAATAATTCAAAAACAAGCAACATCTACAAAACAGGGACTGAAATACTATACAGTATTTTAAAAGATATCACACAAATCAGTATTAAGTGAAATACTCACATAGTAGTTGTCATTTATTTGAACCATTGGTGCATTTACACAGGCACCTAGACATTCCACCTCTATAAGAGTGAAAAGTTTGTCAGGTGTAGTCTCCCCAACCTTTATTCCTAAAAATGTAAATGATCACTGTAAGGACCAGGTTGTATTTTAATAGTAACTATGTTTAAGGAAAAAAAACAGAAAATGATGAACATATTAAAGACATATATAAAATATGTGTTCAAGAGCATTAAGTTTTTAAAAAACTGTTTAATTATGTCAATGTTAGACATATTAATGTATCTAATAGTTTTAAAGTTAATTAAAATGACATGAAATCTAAAATGAATATACCCAACTATTATCAGAATTTATTGCTTATCGGCAGGTGGATAGGATTTTGAGCAGACTTTAGCTTTCTTCTTTATATACTCCCATACTGCTTAACTATTTTTACAACATGCAAGTATGTTATATCCAATAATCACAAAATTAAAAGGTATCTCCTCCTTTTACTTCACTTAACATAATTATAATAAATGGAGTGATCACCATTTTACATGGGAAAATGCTACTATAATAATATCTATTTCAAATTTCCCTTATTAAAGCATTCTTACTACACACTTACCTTATTTGTTCCATGGCTCTTCTGGAAGAATATAAGGACAAAGTATCGCGTGCACACACACGCAAGCACTGCCATCGAGTCAGATCCGACTCATAGCAACCCCTTCTTGGGTTTCCAAATTGGTATCAGTACAGAAGTAGATTGCCCAACCTTCCTTCTGAGGAGTGGCTGATGGGTTTGAACTGACAGCCTTCTGATTAGCAGTCAAATGCCTTAAGCACTACGCTACCAGAGCTCCTTGGACAATATAGTCACTTTTTTATGTAACAAAGAGTATTATACAAGATGTCAAACTTAATTTTCTAAACAATGAAAATTTTAAAACTCCTAGAAACTTTTCAATCATACTTAATGATTTCAAAACAAAAGGTGAAAACTCAAGTTTTGAGGCTGAGAACTAAGGAAGAATACAAAAACAGGAAGAAGTAAGGTAGGAAAACACAGTATGGCAAAAAATTACTGGAGAAGTACAGATCCAGTAAAATGGTAGGTGTTGGAAATTTTAGGTAGAAAAAGGTCATTTTTAGAAAGATAATTCCATTTTCCATGAAAGTTAGAAACATAATATATCCCATACCAAGCTTTCTCTGAATGGCCTCCAGTATACTGTCAGAATCCCGCAGCATGCAAGGTGTGGTAGTGCACACCTGAATGTGGTATTTTCCAACTGGCTTTCGATTATACATTGTGTAAAAAGTTGCTACTTCATACACTCTCATTGAAGGTACTTGTAAAATTTCTGCAACCTGAAATATTAGGAAAATTTTTATAAGATAATTAAAATATTTAGAGTTTTAGGTATGTCTTAAAAAGTCTAATTTTAACATTGTCTCAATTTGATTAACATAAGAAAGTTTTTTAAAAGCAAAATATATACCTACATCAGATAGTTGCAAGCTATAAACAAGCCCTTCAATTTCTGAAGACACTTTACACTTCAAACAGAGCCCAGAGGCTAAAGGAGTTACAGTATTTCTCCTTTTACCCCATTCCTCACCTCCACAAAAGAATACTCTTTTTCTCTAAATCTTGCACTATTAAGAATTTTTACTTTTATCATTTCCACTTTTATATTTCATAATTTTAATTTCCTAAATGGCAAAAATTTTGTGCCAAACCCCAATACATGAAGCAACTACTTAACCAATTTCTTCAAAAAAGCCTTGATGTTACTGGTGGTGTAGAGCACATGCAAATGATACGAAGACAGAAAAAAGGTTGAGAATCAAAGCTTATCTATTAGTCCATATTTGTTTATACATCTATCTACATTTAGATATGTTAACATAAAATTTTATATATTTACCTATGTACATACAGCTGTGCACATGCATATGTGCGTGCACACCCACACGTGCATGACTGCATGCACACATACACTCTCCAGAATAATCAAACACCAATTATATTTCATATTATAATACACTTTACAAAACCTGGATCTTACAATCTAGCAATTGCCACCCCTTCACATAAAAGCATTTATAGAAAATATCTGTTTTGACATATTGGAGTGAAGGGCCAAGGAAATCACTATCTCAGCATATCTCTCTTGCTCAGGGCAAGTATGTCGTGGAAAAAGGCTTTTGAGCTGTCTGCCTACACTTGGTCCAAATACAGTCAATCATGACCATGATCCTGGCTATAACTTTCTAGGTTATCTAGTATTATCTATCAGTTTATAAGCTTGGTTATCTAGCATTTCTAAAAAGTATACATGCATCTATGTAGTAACATGACAAGAAGAGCTTATTAAATGGCATTTAAGATAAATATACTGATCTTCCTCATACCAGAAATTCCAAAGGAAATGTATTCTCAAAAGACATCTAATCTTGGACTCATTTATGAAAATTAAATAATTTCTATTTAATTCAGTGATTCCAAACCATTCCAGTACCTCTGAATCATGGGAACTCTCAAAATACACATTGGAGAGCCACCACTAGAGATTATAATTTCTGTATCAATTGATATGATCATGTGATTTTCCTCTTTTATCCTGTTAGTTAATATGGTGGATCACACTGATTAATTTTTGAGCCCTGAACTAGTCTTAAGCCTGTTGCCATCAAGTCGATTTCAATTCATGGTAATCCCCTCTGTGTCAGAGTAGCTAGCACTGCATTCCATATGGTTTTCAATGGCTGTAATCTTACAGAAGTAGACTGCCAGGCTTTTCTTCTGTGGCACCACTAGGTGGGTTCAAACTCAGTAGTCAAATGCACTACCCAGGGATCTTGGAGATTATAATTTAATAAATCTAGAGTGAGGTCTTGATGTTTAACTTGAAAAAGTTTCCACAGGATTCTGCCACACACTTCTCCATCCTTAGTGATCGTTACTGAACTAACACACAAGCTTTTGGAATTTGTTTTTGTTGCATAGCTGGGCTTTTTGGGAGGTTGCAAAAACAAACAATCCTCCCCGCCGAAAAAAAAAAAAAAAAAAAAAACTCACTGCCATCAAATCAATTCCGACTCATAGTGACCCCAAGTAGTTTTCTAAGGCCGTTAAATCTTTATAGAAGTAGATCACCCCATCTTCTTTCTGTGGAGCAGCTGGTGGGTTTGAACCACTGACCTTCTGGTAAGCAGCCAATGCCTTTATCCACAGTAACATCAAAATAAAGTCTCAAAGGTGAAGTAGAAAGAATCTTGATCCTATTCTCTATATGCTGTTTCTAGCCTCTCTTCCACATACGTGCAATTCTATGTAGAGAACAGGACAGTATTTTTTAAATGTTCTCACCTTAGTTTCTTATTTTATTTTTCTCTGCTAAGCTTACCATTGACTCGACGGCACATAACAACAACAACAACAACAAAGCTTACCATTGGGAGTTCTGGTGGCGTAGTGCCTAAGGCATTTGACTGCTAACCAGAAGGCTGGCGGTTCAAGCCTACCAGCCACTCCTCAGGAGGAAGATGGGGCAATCTACTTCTGTAGTGATGCTGCCTTGGAAACCCAAGGAGGGGTCGCTATGAGTCGGGTCCGACTCGACAGCACATAACAACAACAACAACAACAAGCTTACCATTAGGAGCTGTGGTAGCGTAGTGCCTAAGGCATTTGACTGCTAACCAGAAGGCTGGCGGGTCAAACCCACCAGCCACTTCCCGGAAGGAAGGCTGGGCAATCTACTTCCATAGTGATACCACCTTGGAAACCCAAGGAGGGGTCACTATGACTTGGGTCCAACTCGAGGGCACATAACAACAACAAGCTTACCATTCAGCAAGACTGTCAAAAGGGATGTCATTATTAAAATTATTAATAAAAAAAATGTACATATCTATGATTAAGAACATATGCCTGTCATTGCTTAGAAAGTTGGTAACTGTAATGTAAAAAACAATGTAATTGAGAAAACTCCGAAGAAACATGCCATTTATTGAAAACAAAATAACCATCTGTCTCTGTAAGTACATTCCATTCATCAAGTTGATTCAGACTCATGGGGCTCCCATGTGTGCAGAGGAGAAGTGCTCCACAGGGTTTTCAAATCTGTGACCTTTCTGAAGAGATCACCATGCCTTCCAAGGCACCCCTGGCTGAGTTCAAATCACCAATCTTTTGGCTAACAGTCAAATACTTAACTGTTTGCACTACCCAGGGACTCCTACTAAGTATATACTGTAGTATTTAACTGCTAAACTTGCTTTTTAACATTTTCATAGCCAAGAAGATACTAAGGGCCTACAAAAGTATTGGGGTACTACACAAAGCAAATAGAAGATTTATGAACTCAATCTGTATTGCATTTGGGATTCCATTAGAGGAAAAACTGAGGACATTCCTACTCTCCAAAGAAAGATGACAATGAGCTAGACTAATAGTTATGGCCAAATAAAGTTTAAAAAGGGATAAAAATAATGAAGTATACCCAGAATCTCTTATGACAGTGAAGTACAAAATGCACTCAATTGGGAGTCAGAAGACTACAGTCAGTCCCAACTTTTTATCACTTAGAAATCATCATCAGTAGAAGAGATCTACCTAGTTCAAAACATTCATTCTGCAAATGAGAAAGTTAAGTCCAGAGCACTGAAGACACTCAAGTCACAAAACTAACTAGCACACAGCATAGTCAGGACTAACATTCAGGTCTCTAAGCTCTAAGTTAAATATATTTGCCATTATATCATGCTGCTTTATTTGTGTGGTTCTATAACAATTCAATAATATGTGGTTTTGTATGATATCTTTTAACTGTAAACTGTAATATAATATTACATACATATATTTATTATAGTAAAATTTGTGAAAACCAGAACCTGTACAAACTGAAAACCTGCCAGAGAAGGAAAACAGACTTTCCACTAACATCCACAATAGGAAAGTGCTAAGATTAACTCTGTCGAAGGCAGAATACTTGAGAAACCTAGAAAACCAAGCCAGTCCTGTCAGGTTCCAGTTCCCACAGGTTTTACTGTATATATTATTATAATATGAACAAACTTGAAATGTGGACTGCTGCCAATAACACTATGAGAATATAATGAATCTTAAAATATATATAAAAAACTCACTAACTCACTGCCATCGAGTTGGTCCTGACTCTTAGCGACTCCCCCTTGAGTTTCTGAGGCGGTATCTCTACGGACATAGATTGCCCAATTTTCCTTCCAAGGAGTGGCCAGTGGGTTTGAACCCCCAACTTTCTGGTTAGCAGTCAAAGACACTACACCACCAGAGCTCCCAAAATGTATATAAATAGACAAATTTCATTTGAAATGGGTCACTCATAGCAGAGTAGGTTGATGATTCCAAGTTATCATAATCAAGTGGTTTAAATACCATACATTTATAGATTTCTACTAAAGATTCACATACTTTGTAAAAGTTTTAAGAATTTTAAAATATGTAGAAAGTGACATTTTCTAGTGGTATCTCTCTTTATACTTAGTATTAAACTCTTTTCTCATCTCTTTGAATTCCTTTAAATTCTTTGTTCTCTAAGCAAACCCTTGATTTTTCTTCAGGTCTCCATTCACCATACCTTTTCATTTTCTGCACAGCTTTCCTTTACAATTATCTTGCTCCCTCAGGTAGTCCTAACCTGCCCCTCTAAAGCTCTTTTTATACATCTCTACATAGGAACATGGGGAGCTCTGGTAGCACAGTGCCTAAGACATTTGACCACTAACAAGAAGGCTGGCGGTTCAAACTCACCAGCCACTCCTCGGACGGAAGGCTGGGCAATGTACTTCTGTAGTGATACGGCCTCAGAAACCCAAGGAGAGGTCGCTATGAGTCAGATCTTACTCGACAGCAGTGCACTGCGTTTGCGTTACATGTTGTTATGTGCCATTACATAGGAACACTGTAAGTCAGAAAAGACTAGACATTTTTTCATCAGCATTCATCCTATTAAATTGAAATTAACCTGTTTATATCTCCCACTAGCTTGAGAAGATCTTTTTTTGTACTTCTAGTGTTTAAATGATGCATTAATCTTGACACGAAATTATGTATTTTTGAACTTTTATCTATATTATGACCACTTACCTCAAAAAGGAAAAAACAAAAACTAAACCCTTTCACTGTAATATGACTGCCTTTACTATTTGTGGCAAGGATAAGAAATTCTACTTTTCCAGTTCTCTGTATTACTAAGATGGCGCTCTGGCAGTGTAGTGGGTAAGGCATTTGGCTGCAAATCAGAAGGTCAGTGGTTCAAACCTACCAGCTGCTCTGCAGAGGGAAGATGAGGCAATCTACCTCTGTAAAGATTCACAGCCTTGAAAATGAATGGGGGTCGCTGTGATAGTTGAAGATGTGTCAACTTGGCTGGACTTCACTTGTGAGTGGTGGTTCCCATGATGGATCACATGACTGCGTCCTAAGCGGCCGGTCAGTCTAGGGGGAGTTTCCCCAGGGGTGTGGCCTACCTGTAACACTATCCCAGGAACAAAGTGGAAAAACGGCATTCCAGATATATGCTTCCTGGAGCAAGCAGCTCGCTGCGCGCCCCAGAGGAGCCTTTTGGATTCTTTCTTTGTTGGGAACGGTGACCCTGCATGTCAGTTTTGATTCTCCCGGCTCTGCTGCGCTTGCGGGAACCAGACGACTCCGGGCCCCATCTCTCGGCGACCCTGCGTGTCAGTTTGATTCTCCCGGCTCTGCTACGCTTGCGGGAACCAGACGACTCCGGGCCCCATCTCTCTCCAGAGACGAACTTTGTGACTTGAACTCCTCTGCCGTGCGTGTGAAAGCCAGACGGCCCTGGGCCCCATCCCCCTCCAGAGACGAACTTTTCAGCTTGAACTTGTCGGCTTCCACACGCTTGTGAGCCATTTATCTAAGATAAATCTCTCTCTCTCTCTCTTTCTCTCTCTATAAATATATATATATACACTTTGCTGGTTTTTGTGTTTCTCTAGAGAACCCAATCCAACACAGTCGCTATGAGTCGGAATTAACTCTATGGCAGTGGGTTTTTCGCATTACTAAGGGAAACAACAAAACCACGAAATGTAATTTTTCTATAAGGAAACATACAATGATTAAAGGGCTTCAAATACCTAATTCTGACAGTAATGATTCATCACATGAATTTCTACATGAGGAAATCACCATGCAAAATCTCTCCTCTTTTTGAACTAATGCAAAAACTAATTTGATACCTTGTTCATAGCAGAGATGGGCAACCATCCATTCTGTCTCTGTGCTAAATCCAGCACTGGAAGCACAGCTGCTGCTTTGTGCCCTTCTGGATAGTTTTTCACAATTGCCTCTATCCTCTGTATTTAAGAAAAAAAAAAAGAAGAAGAAAGAGAGCATCTGTTTTATACACCTGGAAGACATTAAATATTTTGTAGATTAAGTAAAATGTTAATTTAGTCATACCTTATAGTTTTCTGGTGTGAAATCAAATGGAGTATCAGGGTTATTCTCAGGAGTATCTCTGTGCTACACAAAGAAAAAAATCTTTCAAAATTATCTCAAATAGTGTAAATAACTTCTGTACATTGTTATACTGCTGATTATCAATCACTTTAATTCCAACATAAAACATATCAATAATCTATTTTTCCATCAAAAAGAGTATGTAAAGTAATGACTAAATACACATCTGATGACTATGATGGAGGTGGGATAAGACCAAATTAACTTTAGCAGATTTCAAACTTTTGGAAAAGCTTTAGACAGCACCCTTTAAAGGTTAAAAGAAGTAGCTTTAGGACCTAAAAAACAAGACAAAAAAAAAGTATTACTCATATTGATTACAGAATATGATTTTGTAATTTAAGTACTCAAACACTATTAATTCTTTTAGGACTTATGAAATTAAAATCTTGAGTGCTGAGTTCCAAAAGAGTGTATTATGTTGTCAAATGGATGTGGGACCCACAGAGGATAAGATTCACCACTTCAGGGAAGGTACAAAAGCACCATTATTTCCCCATACGCTTTTCATAATCAGAAACTAGCCAACAGTAAGTAAGAATCTTTATTTCTTGTCTTAAGAGAGTAGACAGAGCAAGTCCTCTTCAAAACCTGACAAGAAATTGCATGTCAACAGGAAATCAAATGAGTCACACTGAGATTAACACATCCATTAATGCTTTGTACTCATGCTGAATACAGAACTGAATCCTTGATATGTTAACTCTCAAAGTTATGCTTTTTCAAGACATAAACAAAAGGAAGAAAGAAAACAAGCTTTAGGCAATGATCTCAAATATGTGGCCAATGTGGTATGTTTTTAGGCAAAAATTATGAAACTTAAGCAGACATCTACTTCTCAGTAATATGAACCCCAACTCATTTATTAAGACTCAGGCTAGAGTTTACAAAACAATACCAATGACTCTAAATTATCATACAAATCCACTAAATTGGCCTTTAAACAACATTAGATTAATCCTTGAAAACTGTACCTTGTTAGAGAAAAAGAATACATTATTTTATTTTTCCTGGATATGAACAGAAAAAGGGGGGGGGCGCTATATACGGTAATATCTTTTGAGACTTGTTCAATTAAGCTGGGGAGCCCATAGACCTCCACCTGTAATTAAACCCTGGAAAAGAAAACGATAAAGCCAACTGCTAATGTTTTCACTACCTTCTTAAAATTCATGAATTTCTTATTGGTGCCATTGTACAGTCTCCAAATTGCAGGTTCAGGACCTTCAGTGATGCAACATGACTGACTTTTAAGAACCGAAAGAAATATGATCAGTAATCAGGTTTAGGCTCACAGTAATTTTATCAAAGAGCAATCTAAATTCGTATTTCCAGAGTTGCCTTGCTGCCAATTTAAAGTTTAGAGGTTCAGTGGGAACCACACATCTTTTGAAAAGTACTGAATTCAATTAGCTATATTTAAATTCCTACAATGGGCAGTATATACCAAAGGCATTTGTGCTTAAGAAATTATAGATTATAATAACAGATTTACCCAAATGTCCAAGACTTTTCATTCTAAAGAAATCTAAGTACTACTTACCACAAATAAGGCTCCTCCAGCTCCATTATGCACAGCTGTCTTATGCAAATTCCTTATATGTCTTCCCTAAAAATGATTAATTTTGAGTTTAGTAAATCACAGGCCTTAAGAATAATTTTCAGATCCATAATCAGAAAGATCTTAAGAGCTATGGTCTAATACCCCCTACACCCTGCCTAACTCAATTTCAAAAGAAGATGAGAGAAATGGAGATCCAAATATTTTTTAACTTGACTAAGATCACATAAAAAAGTCAACAGACACACGCCCTGGAGAGAACAATCATGGGAGAAGGAAGGGCTGCTTATGCACAGGGAGATAGCTCAGGGTGCAGAAGAGTATGAAGGGATGGACACTGGGAAGAGAAGTGGGAGGGGAGCTGTTGCATTGTAAATTTTGGTCAATGACATGAGACAAAGTATATGTGAACTGCTGTATGAAAAGTGAATTTACTCTGTAAATCTTCACCCAAATCCTAATTAAAAAAAAAAATTAAAAAAAAAAAAAAGTCAACAGAAGAACCAAGAAAACAGCCCAGATCTTTTATTTCTTTATCCTTCTTCCTACTACAGTGTCTTTGCATGCATTCAGGAAGTTAATGTACCATGAACTTACTGCCTTTCCCTTTTATCTGAATCAATTTGGATGGCAGCTTTTCTTATATGTAGACCTTCATCAACATGTTTTCATGAGTCATATACTCTGTACAAATAAGTCAACTGTATCCTCCTTTTTAGTTTTTTATTTAAATAAACTGTACCCTCCTTTTAGTTCTTTATTTAAATTCCTATTTTTAAGTTCAGAAACTTCAGCCTTGAAAGTAGTTTCAGTAAACTAGTTGTGATGCTGATTAATGCAGAATGACCATGTTCAACTGTTAAGGGAGGAATCCATTCGATTACTCTCCACTGATTTAATTTCTCTCTTGCCTTCTTGCTGCCATATCCCTTCACCCAAGAAAGCAATTCGCCCAAGAAAATCTTGTTCTAAAATTCTCCAGTTTCTAAGTTCTACTAACCACACAGCAGAACACTGGATTTATTTAATCAAGCATGGAATTATCAAGGAGTTGGACAATTCAAACAGGGCAAACATAATGGACAAGAAAGTAAAGGCAGTGATATAATTATGTTTAACTTTCCCTAGGCCCAAATAGTATTTCAGTTGAAGAAATAAATATGCATGGAGCACTTGCTTTAATTAACAAAACAAGACCCAGGTACAGAATGTAAGACATAGGTACAAAAGTATGGAGTGATAAATCTCTCTCAGGATAATAGGGGAGGGGAAGAAGGTATACTCAGAAAGATACACCAGAAAACTTCAAGGGTATTGTTTCTTTTTAGGCAGCAAACTGATACACAAGTATTTATTAAATTTTTTATGCCTTTTTATGTCTTGGTTACACAGTTAAGTTTAAAAAAAAAAAAGAGAGAGAGAACAAACTTATACATATTTAAGAAATTCTGTGTTCCTTTACTTTTTTCAATTTTTTCCAAATTGCTTCGGGATCAATCTGTGCATTAAACCCAAACCAAACCAAAAACCAAACTCACTGCCACTGAGTCAGATCCAACTCACAGAGACCCCTCCTTGGGTTTCCAAGGTGGTTATCACTACAGAAGTAGATTGCCCAACCTTCCTTCCAAGGACCGGCTGGTGGGTTTGAACCACCAGCCTTCTGGTTAGCAGTCAAATGCCTTAGGCACTACGCCACCAGAGCTCCCATTAAACCCAAAGTTATGACTATATTGCTAATGTCTGTCCAGAACCTGGATGGAGATAAATAACATAAAAATAATAATCAATAATACTTAAGGACAGTATCAGCACAAAGCTCTGAAAAAAACAACCCAAACTAAAATTTGCAAGACAGTCTCTACCCAAAGTTTAGCCAAGATATATATTTTTTAAAAAAAAAGAACAATATTTATTAAGTATCATTAGTGTTACTTACTGAAATTCTTAAAGAAAAAGAAAGATTTTTAAATAAAAGAAGTATTAATTTGAGGGAGCTCTGGCAGCATAGTGCCTAAGGCACTTGACTGCTAACCAGAAGGCTGGTGGTTCAAACCCACCAGCCACTCCTCGGAAGGAAGATGGAGCAATCTACTTCCATAGTGATACTGCCTCGGAAACCCAAGGAGGGGTCGCTGTGAGTCCGGTCCAACTCGATGGCACATAACAACAACAACAATTTGAGACTGGTGAAAGTGTTTAATTTTCTCTTTTCTTAATTTCCGAACTTTGTACATTCTCTTTACCGGCTAGGCTTTTTACTCGCTCCCAGTAGGTTTTCCTCAAGGCTCAGTTCACAGCCCCATGTTCTTTTTTCTAGAGAAGCTTTTCCATTCTTCCATTCACTTCCTGCAAACAGGATCTCTGAATGATCTTTTACGAGCCCTACAGATGCCTAGCATTTCTTATGTTGTTCAAACATTAGTAGTATCCAACTCTGTTCACCTTTCAGTTAAAAGGCCATATCCAGCCAGAGGAACTCAATAAAGGACAAGGAAGCTGGAAGACAAAACTGAAAATGCAGTAATCTAATTAGTCAGAAAGTCAAGATTAAGGTTAGGGAATTGAATAACACTCTTTTCCTTTATTATTAGCCAACTCAGGCTATTAGAGTGTCCCTAACATTTACAAACTGAATCCACAATGTATGTGTGCACCTGCACAGGAGTCACAACTCACATGTGAAAATACCTCCAAGTTAGTCAAAAGTGATGTTTGGTCCCTCTGTACTTGCCTCCCATTGTTCAACAATACCTGCCAACTTATTATCTAAAGTCTCCTTTATATCATCAGTGCAAGCAAACACATTTCTCTGAACTGTCTAGAGCAAACAAAGGTAGACAGAGAAAACTGAAAGCTCCCCCAAAAGATAGTATCTATGATATACTCACAGTAAACCAAAAAAACCAAACTCACTGCCGTCAAGTCAGATCCGACTCATAGCAACCCCTCCTCAGGTTTCCGAGGCAGTTGTTTTCGTAATGTGTCGTGGAGTCGGACCTGACTCATAGCGATCCCTCCTTGGTTTCCAAGGCAGTATCACAACGGAAGTAGATTGCCCAACCTTCCTTCCCAGGAGCGGCTGGTGGGTTTAACCGCCAGCCTTCTGGTTAGCAGTCAAATGCCTTAGGCACTATACCACCAGAGCTCCATACTCACAGTAAGTATTTTTATTTACATTTTAAACAATGCTTGAAAAATAAGTTTTCAATGCATTTATTTTTATAAAGTAGTTGATAGATTAATAGTAACTGTGATATCTATTTCAAAGATGAGAACAATAAACATACATACTTACTGTGCATCAGATACTGCACTACAACCTTTACAAATATGTTACCATTTACTCCTCACAGCAATCCTGCCAGATAGGTATTATCAAACCCTGTCTTACAGATGAGGACACAAGACTCAAAGAAGAGGGGGAAAAAATTTTCCCCAGATCACACAGCTAAACAAATGACAAGCCAGAGTCAAAAATAGGTTTTCCGAACTAAAACATATGCCTTTAAACATTAAAATTTGTTTTCTTAAATTTTCAAATAACCTTTAGGAGGGATTTTACAAATGTTCTCCAAGTAAAGCTGTATCAATATTTTAACTAAAAATGTTCATTCAGATTAAAGAAACTTAAGTGCTTTTCCCGGATACTCACTATAAGAGAATTAGGAGCTCTGGTGGCAGGGTGCCTAAGGCATTTGATTGCTAACCAGAAGGCTGGCAGTTCAAACCTGCCAGCCGATCCACAGAAGGAAGATGGAGCAATCTAATTCCCTAAAGATGTACTGCCTCAAAAACCCAGTGGGGGTCACTATGAATCAGAATCAACTCCAGGGCAGTGAGTTTGGTGTGGCTTGTTTTGTAAGAGAATTAACAAAATTTGTTAATGAATAGTCTGCCACTCCTCCGAAGAAAGACTGGGCAATCTACTTCTGTAGAGATACTGCCTCAGGAAACCCAAGGAGGGGTCACTATCAGTCGCAATCAGCTCCAGGGCATTGAGTTTTTAGTTATTAAACAGTCAAGGTATTACAGGAGCATTACAGATCAAGTTAACCACACTAATAGCAATGACAGTAATGATTCATTTCAACCATCTTGACCATAAATTAATCATTTGTGTGTGTCTTTATTATTTAGATAATCTAAAATCCAATATGGATATAAGCAACACCTCAAGAACAACTCATAGAAATAAAATGCCCGAACATCACTTCAGTCAATAGGCCTAGGTTCAGTCTCCTAGTCACCAATTACTGCAACCTTGAGCAAGTTGCTCTTGCTCTCTGTACTTTGGTTTCTTCATCTATAAAACAACAAGAGTATCTATGTAAAGTGTTATTATGAAGATTAAATGAAATAAAGTATTTAGCATAGTGTCAGCTTAAGTACTTAAATGTTAACAATTATTATTGTTACAGCTTTAATTAAGCAGCAACATTTTAGTTTCCCATTATCTTTTTTTCTCATGACAGGATGGGATAAGGGATTTAAAAAACCAAACTCTCTAACATGCTACTGCAGGGAAAGAGAAAGACCAAACATTAGGCCTCAATAATCTCATAAACAGATTGAGACCCTGAATAATTAAGAGTTAATTGTGAAAGCAAACCTCTACTTTCAAAATTTTAAATGATTAAAAAATATTTGGTCTAAAGAATTAACTGACAAAATTTAAGAACAAACTTTGTAGTTTAACTTAAGACTCAAATAAACACAAACAAATGCTATATAAATTAAAATTGCTTTATTTTCTAGTCATAAACACTAATACTCAGAAAATACTGTCATGGATTGGATTGTGTTCTCCAAAAACATGTTTTGGTTGGGCCAAGATTCTCAGTGGTTTGGCAGTTATATAATGATGTAATTATCCCCCATGATGTGGTATGGTATGATCAGTTTTAAGAGGATCAGGGTGAGACGTAACACTCTTACCCAGGTCACAACCTTGATCCAATGTAAGGGGCATTTCCCTGAGGTGTAGTCTGTATCACCTTTTATCTTACAAGAGATAAAAGAAGAGAGGCAGCAGAAGAGAAAGGACT